CCGTGTAAATGGGGTCAGAGGGTGAAAAGAGGTGCTGCAGCACAGGCAGTATGAGAAAAATAAAGAGCTTTTTGAACATTAAAGCATGGAGACATGTCACAGTAGAGACACTACATACAAATATGAAACCTGAAAATGAGCTTTATAGTGCCCCTAAATACATTTGAAGGCCTATGGGCAAAGATATAATCTCAAATAAATCTGGAAGGCAATTCAACAAACTTTGAGATAAGGCTATTTTTATCTAAAGCTTTTCCTCATTACTTGAGGGAAGCTTTACATCCAGCTGCCTCAGATTCCAATTACAAGGACATGACTCTCAAACTGGAAAAACACTAATACAACATATCAAGGAAGGTCTTCTTTAAAGCACTCTGGCAAGAAAAAGAAAATCTGAAGACCAGTTGCGGAAAAACAACCACCCAGTAACCGTCCCTTCCCTGCTGTGTATACTTATTACAGGCACCAGGGGTACAGGGGTCCGAATGTTCTCAGGGTAATCATGTTTTTGTTGGCAGCCTTCAGCGGGAGGAGTTTTAACTTCCATTTACTGAGAGCAGGAAGAAGTGCTGTTGGTGAGAGTTGGTCATGCAGCACTGCAGATAACAGTACAAGTATTATCTAATTACTCATGATTTCTTTTCTGAGCCACCGGCATCACGGATTAGAAGATGCATAAGGCGCAAAGGTCTCTGGGGGACTAGCCTCTGTATTAGCTTTAAAATTAGCACATTTAATGTTAACAGTATGTGATCTGTCTTTTCTTTCTTGCTTTGATTTGGTAACTATGATTAAAAAGGTTCTGCAGGGATCTGTCCAAGGTCAGCGGGGCACGTGTGTCTCTGGTAGCAGAGGTTTTTCTTGCATCACTGCGCTCCCTCTGTTCTGGCTGCTCTCCACCCCCCCTTTGGCCATTTTGAATGATAACAGACCATGTTTGGTTAGCTGGTGCAAAGAGAGGAGACAAGGCAGGGGGGAAAAAAAGATATATCTGACATCAGACTGGAGAGAATGTAATCTTAAATTCATCAAGTGGCTTAATCCCCTCATTTTATTTTCCCACCAATGTAAAGTACTTGACGTGCTTTTGTTTTTGTTTCATTGCTTGAGTTAGAAGAAGTAGCATATTATCATTTGTTAAGCAAAAGAGCTCGAGTTCTAGCTTTGAAATAATGAAGACTAGTTAGTTTTCCTTGTATGATGGTAAACTAAATATCAGACAAAAGAAGCTATTTTAAATCATCAGCCTGGGTTTTATGTCATTGTACAGGCTTTTTTAAATCAAGATTGTTGATTGTAATCAGAATAAATATCGAAATATTCGACATTTGCAGGCCTACCTATTACCCTAGCTTTTTTCCTTGAGGTTATATGTTTACTTTTTTTCTTTCCAAATTGCGGCATTTTAAGAGATGTGCAACAGCTTCCTTTAGCCATAAAATGCCAAATCAGAACAAACCTCAGTTCCACCCTTGTTTGTTGAGCTTGTCCCCGTCAAGACATGCCACAAACCATCTGTTTGCTGTATTGCAACACTGGTGCTTTATTGTAATCAGAACTGTTGGTGCATAGATTACATGTTCACCGCACTGCCTGAGATCTGTTTTGGTTACACACAGCCTGCCAGGCGACAGTGAAGCAAACCACCACAGGCAGGCGAGCAGCCAGTGTTTATCTCCACTAGTGCTCATGCCCAGTAACACTGGCACTTGCCCAGCAACACTCATGCAGAGTGGGGGGTCCCAGGACGTTCTCCCCCCCCCCCCCTCCAACCCTCCTGCTGCTGAATCTCTAAGCACCATCTCCATGCAGCCCTGTCATTACCCAAGGATCTCCCCCAGACAGAAAAACAAGACAGACACCTTCCTTGTTCTCCCAGCAGCCAGGTTATTTCATGCTGTCATCACTGCCTTATTCTCTAATGGAGATAGGAAATACAAGTTGATTTGTTTTTAAACGAGGAGGAGGGGGTGCATTATCAGAGAAGAAAAGCAGAGATGATGAGAGAGGAGATGAGAGCTTTCAAAAGCTTTCCATGCTGTCATTAGCTCCCCTGAATGCAGCAGCTAATGTGTGGGAAGGACGTGCATGCCAGTCCTTTACTGTACACACACAATACACACAGGCACAATGGATGCACTTGAATGCATCATACATTTTCGAGGGAAAAATGTAATTAACATAATGTAATTCACCGTGGGGGATTCATTTTTGACAGATTCAACGCGTGGCTGTGCAAAAGGAGATGCATTGTCTGCCGTGGTGCTGCCTGGGAAATGCCTTTTTAAAAATCATGAGGAAAAAATCTCTCGCTTCGTGACTCTGCAGCTCCATGCGGATGGTGTCTTACAACATTAATCATTTTTGTGCACATAAATCCACATTTAAAGCCGAGGAAATATTATTAAAATCGCCACTAACCTTGGTTGGGTCGCCTCCTGTTATCCACTTGTTACAAAGGAAATTTAACACCATGGATCGTCCTGTTAAGTTTCCTGGCAGTCGGACAAAAACGCAGCAAAACGGGGCCGAAGCTGAAGCTCAATGGCGTGGATACCAAAAGTCCTGTGATGATAAGAGAGGTGTGGGTGTGTGTGTGTGTGATAAGTGCCTGGGTGTTTTTCTCAGGGTACCGTCTGCAAACAACGAGAAAAGGTTGTGTCTTCAAACAGCTGTTTTCCAAAATGGAGTTATCCGTGAGCAGCCAATCAGAGGCTTCCTCTCCTCTGTTGGTTGGATCCAACAGCACACTGCACTCTGAAGATCAAACACTTTATACACATTATGCATCTGTCTTTTCTTTTAAGGGATGAATCATTGTCGCTTTCATGTCAAGGCAGTTTTATTTAGATACACATCAAAACACCAGACACCCCATCTTAGGAGATTTTCCTAGCAGGAAATTCCCAGATCTCCCTCATGTTGGTTTTTATGAAAGGCAGGATTCAGATCCTTAACTTCACTATAGCCTTAAAGCACAAATAGCATACTGTTACATAATTTGCTGCATTAGGTAAAAGTGTGTCAGTATTATCAGGGATGTGTACATAAGAGAACTCAATGTTGTGACAATGTCCCCTGTGACTATTACACTAATACATATGTTATAGTTAGATTCTCATTCCTCATGCATTCATGTACTGTACCCATGTTGTATGCATGCTGTTTGTATAGGACGATGATTTTCATTAGGTTTTGGGTGTAACAGATCACATGTAGCGGGTTGTCAGGATACACAAAAAGGTAAAGTATTCCCTTACAGTTACAAAGCTGTAATCATATTACTGGTACATGTTTTTAAAAATGGGGATTATTAGCAGGATCACAATGTTACAATACGCACAATAACTAGTGTGGGTGATCCTAATATACTGTGTTTATTGAACTAAAATGGAGCATTCTCTGTTTGCGCAGATTTGTACTACTACTTAGACTATACTGCATGAATGTGTGTAAGAAAGGCAGGTTTTTATTTTAAATAAACCCTGTGCAGAGGACACATTTTTCATACAAACCATCTTGATTTCTTCTTTTATAAGGTAACATTCCTCTGTTTTCTCACAGAAAACCCTTTGAGTGAAAAACATCAGACTGAAATACATTTATTGTCTTTATTTGCATTTGATAATTAATTAATACAAAAATAACTAAAACTGATTGGGTTACTTTAATGATCTGATACTTACATTTTCTACAGGTAATTAGTCATTGTAATGGAATACAAAGAAACCCTCCCAACTGCGATGTTCATTATGGATTAATCTGCTGATTGATTGTTTAGTTTGTAAAAGTTCAGAATATCTTAGGTCCAAACCAAAACTTCTGTGAATCATAAATAATCAGGATATATGAGATGCACAATGCTAAGACTGTCTCTGCCCGTGTTTCTGTTAAACATTTGAAAAGCTTGAGCCCAGGCTGAGATAACCCTGATGGCATCACTTTAACAACATCAGGGTTATCTTTCCGGACATTGGAAAGCTTCTTAGAGACAAAAAAACACATTACAGATGTTTCCAGAGGATGAACAGTATTCCAGTAAATTGACTTGAGTTGAGTGCCCCTTTTATGGATCTGCCTTGTTTCTTTTTGTGTTGTCATGAACTAATATAGAACATGATGAGTGTACAGAATTGCTCAATAAACCAGTGTCATGGAAACGGCAGACTAACAGTGTAGGCTGTGTGGAGCTAAAATAAAGCCTGCATGCTCTCTACATGCATGCCCAAAAATAGATCCTCAGGAGCCTTCATAGTTACACAATCATGATGCATAAAAAATACTACTGATTTCTTTGTGCAAATATGTAAACATATGTCTGTTGTTGTTGAAAGCAACAGATTACGATAACCCATGTACAATTTTAAGATACTTGAGTATACATACATTCTTCTGACAGCTATAGTCGCTTTAAATTTGAAGATCTTACACACAAATCATACAATCTTTTTATAAAACGTGATACACTTATGCAGAATTAACTACTAAACAGTATTGTTCATTCATAATGCTCATAATAAATACACTTCGCTTCACCTGGCCAGCCTAATTAAATGTGTTAAAAATATTCTTAATTAGTACAAGTTTGGATGTACTATGTTTAAACTGTGGTATAACTACTTCTACACAAGTACAAATCTAAATTTATAAAACAGTATTGCATTTCTGATCTCTTTGGGGACCTATGAAACCAGTGACACTACTCGAGTCTGTTGCAATGTGTTTTCAATTATACTTTAGGTGACTGTGGCTAAGCGGTCATCTTTCAACCCAAAGCTTGTCGGTTCGATCCCAGCCCATGCAGTCAATATGTCGATGTATCCTTTGCCAGATACTTAACTCCGAGTGGCTCCCGATGGCCAACGGTGTGTGAATGTGTATGAATGTTAGCTTCCCTAGAGCAAGTGGTACTTCTCTGCATGAATGGGGCGAATGACTATAAAGCGCTTTGAGGGGTTGTAAAGACCTGAAAGAGCACAAAGGACACAAATAAGACTTTCTCTGCTTCAGTTTATGGTCTTTACTACCAGCAATATCCTGAAACACAATATATCTTATAGTCACAGACATGCTCAAAATAAAAATATAAAAGACAATCAATATACAAGTTAGCTTCGGGCTACCCCGAGGAAACAGATCCAACATTATTGCACATTTCTGTACATGGCCTGGTGGGAAATTTGGCAAACCAGTTTTATACCTCATGTGACTCCTTTGATCAGTGATGGCCCCGTGTTAAGACTGAGTGATGAGAGCAAACAGTTGAAAAACAAAAATAAAAAAAAACACAAGGCAAAGCAAAGAAAACATAAGCATCACCAAAACAAAGGACTTCAAATACTGTGTTAAAGTTAGACAGGAAATACTGTTAAATATAATGTATTGTTCTCTCAGTTACAGCAGCCATCAATTTGTAGTAAATCCACCCTTATGTAAGGAAGGCCCGGTTGAGAAAACACATGAATATTGCTTTGGTACAAACAAATCCAACATGATTTATACCACATGGGAAATCAACAGTTTAAGGCAAAATATTATACAGTTATTTACACAAAACATGTTGAGTTGTGGGGTGATGCTACTATAAAGACAGAGCACTGATGGCCAGTAAATGACTTATGTAATTTTGATTAAATTAAAGGAGAGGTTCACACTTTTCCATTCCTACTTTTAAACAATACAGACATGCCCATACAGTATGTGCATTGACTCCGTTTCTGTCCCCTGTACTGGCTGATAACAGATCGACGGTCCTGTATTTTCAAAGTTCAACCAGATCCAAAATGAGGCTTTAGCAGCCTGTTAGCCAAATCAAGATGGTAGCATCAACATTTTAGTGTTTTAGTATGAAAGTCCCTGGACATTGTTTTTAGTACCAAACGGAGTTGCTTAACTAGTACTGCTGAAGGCTCATGATTTGATCAACTATCTGTTGGGAGAAAAAGCTGAAAACATCTATGACATTTAGAAAAGCCTTTTTTGTTTTTCTTCAATTAAATAATACTCTCCAATTCTGATATAACTGATGCTACTGCAGCATCTCCGCTAACCTCTTAAAGGTGGGGTAGGTAATTCACTTCAGAAACATTTTTTTTATATTCCATGGAATGCTCTTAACATCCCGATAGCAATGAATATATTAAATACCTCGACAATAAATACATAAAAAAATGTCATCTGTGGAAGCCGTGACACTGTAAAAAGCAGAACCAATTATTTTTCCGGCTAAAATAAGTGGATGGCCTACCTGCCTGTCAGCCTTCCATCTGTGCACAAACTTATCTCGTGCCCTCATTGGTCATGTGCGTGTTTGTGTGTGTTGGAGGAGGGGCTCTGTAAGGAAGTCTGAAGGAAGGGGCAGATTTTTTTCGGCTGCGTATTTTCAAATTCTAGCGCACTCGAGCTGGTTTCTCCATTCTTACCTACCCTACCTTTAAGGGTCCGTCATTGTAATTTGGAAAAAACAGTCGCCCCTCTGTGTCGTACCACATCCAAATGAGGAATGCAATGAGTTCTTAATGAAAACAATTAATTCAAGGTACTACTGTAGAACAAAAAATATGCAGTTGCCAGTAGCCCCTCATAGGACATTGAGGACACAGATTAACCACGTAGGTTGGGACTAAATAGCATTTCATTTACATGTGAACTGAATGGCAAAACATGAACCTATCCTTTAACTTCCAGATATAACTCCACAGAGGGGCCACTATAATGGCCCAACATGCATCGTGTCAAAAGCCTCTTAGCCTTAGGACCACGACTAAATGCTGGGCTACGTGTGATCTACAATAGACTTTCCACCTACAGTATAGTGCTGCTTAGTTAGTTAGTAAGGAAAATAAATCATGTATGATATTGGCAACTTGCTCTTTAAAAGTCGACACACATGTTTCAGATGAGACAGAAGGAGTCCTCTCAGAGTGTTTCAGTAACAGTAGTAGAGTTGAGAGCGCAGCCCCCTGAAGGAGTCGTCGTCCTGCCCCCTGGCCTCCCCTTCAAACAGCATGGAGTCTGGCAGCACCACGCCCTCTAGTGGGTCGGGCTGGCAGAACTCCACGATGAACTCCTCCTCACAGCCCAGCAGCACCCTGGACCACGAACACAGGTCCAGCTGTCCGGCCGAGCCGCCGTACTCCTCCGGCAGCACCGAGCGGGGGACGTTTTTGTGCAGAGAGCGCAGGTCGGAGCCGTGCAGGACGTACTGAGGAGAAGCACAGAGAACAAGTCAGAGATGTCATCTGCTTCATCATTTCAAGTGGCTATGATCAATATTTCTGTTATAGAAATGAACCGACAAATAGTTACAGTATCTCCTAGCAGTTCCCCTAATACCTTATAGGGGATTTATAGCTTCTTTCAGAGCGTTGTTCTGATTTACTCTAATAGGAAACTCTTTGAAATCACTACCTGATCTGCAACAACAGCCAGACACAGTTAGCAGCTACCTGGCGAACATACTGTAGTGGAGCCTTTAGAGGCTTAACAGCACCCTTATCATTTTTATCTAAGTATGCATTAGATAAAGATAAATGAGTTGCATAAAATGCCCGTAAGAATTTTCATAGAAAAACTCTTAGACCTTGAAGTGTGTGCCATTAGCTAATTCTTAAAGCATTGCTAAAAGGTTCTTTGTTACCCTTTTTCCTCAGAAAATTCAAAGGAACCCATACACCTCTTACAAGTGAAATCGACTGAGTTGGTGGTGATCGGTGAAAAGGAGAAGATACAAAGATAATTGTATTGGGACAGAGTAAACCCACTCGATGCCACAACGATCCACACATAGTTTCTAGTTTGAAACGATATGTTTGTGCTTTCCATATTCATGGAGGATATCAACAATCATACTCTAGTCGGGCTTTCTTTTTCTATTTGTTATCCATCTTAGAAGCTAGCTTGTCCATGTTGCTGTTTATCTGCTGATTATGTAAATAACCAACAGTGTGCTAAAAGGTTTGCCAAAAAACCTTAAAAAAGGGGAAAACATGTCAGTGTTGTGCAAAAATATTGCTTCTCTGCCCCCAAATGAATAATAACCAATCACTGTAGGGTTTGAATGAACTGAAATAACATTCCCAGAATAAATGTTTTCATAAGATTTATAAAATACAGACTTGTGTAACTGGTATTTTGAGTTCATTCCCCCGAAAAGCAAATGCTAGACCATCAATTTTCGCAGATGAAAATAGACTGGCTGCGGATAAAAGGGAGGCACACAATTAAAAATAGTCCTTTGTGTAAAACAAAAGAGACAGAGACAATGTAAGGACAATAGTTACCCTCTCTGCCATCTTCTCCTTCAGAAAAGGCTTAATTATAGCAAAGATGCCTTTGAAAATCCTGGGCTCATTTATTATGTTAACAGCCTTGATTCTGATTGGGAACCCATCCTGTGAATGAAAAGAGAAACCAAGTTCAGAATAGTCACAGCTGGTGCTTGTCATTTCAGATGTGATTTTAGTGTAAATATTACACACTCTGCAGTCACGACAAAACTCAACAGCCAGAGCTTAAGAGCTACTGTTGTAAATGACAAGGTTTTTTTCCACGTGTGTCAACAGAATCACTGCTGTGTCATTTCAAAATAGAGTGACATTTTGAGCAAATTCAGCATTCATACATAAATTCCAAAGAAAGAATTGGCATTTCCTTACAATCATTTTATAAACACATTTAAAAAGGACATATAATACACATTTTCAGGTTCATATTTGTATTTTTTACCTCTACTGTGACATGTTTATGGCTTTAATGTTCAAAAAGCTCTTTATTTTCTGCAGCACCTCTTTTCACCCTCTGTCTCAAACCAGAGCCCAGTCTGCTCTGGCCGGCTCTGTTGTGATTGGTCAACCACTTACAGATGTCCTGCCCCTTAATCTATCATGTTGGAGTAGGGCTGTGCGATTATGGCAAAAATCATAATCACGATTATTTGGGTCAATAATTGATATCACGATTATTAAATACGATTATTCATTGACTTTGAAAACATCCATTTATTGAACTTTAAAACAAATACAAATAATAATTTGAACAGTATCTTTTTAACTGTTGATTACCCTGAACGTATAATTCAACTGAAAAACCAATACAAAAATAAATAAAATAAATGATACATTTAAATAAATAATATCAAAATAATAAATACCAATAAACAAGATCAACAAATATTTTGGAGCGCACTTCCACAAGCTACTAAACATATATAAATATGATAAATACAAATAAATGAGACCAAAATAAATTAGATCAAATATGTTGCAGTGCACTGTCACAACCTAGCAAAGCAAAATAATTGTTTTTTTCGATTATGTTGTTTTCGTAATTGTGGCAGGCCAAAATCGTAATTGCGATTAAAATACGATTAATTGCACAGCCCTATGCTGGAGCACTACCTAACATAGTGATGTCATTATGTTACTGATGTAAACAAAGGAGTTCAATGGAGGCGTTTCAGGCAGACCATATACATGCACAAAAACCTATATAACACACTACAGTAAAGAGAACACCTTAACCTTAACAGGGCCTCTCTAATACCTTAAAAGTGTCACCGGATCATAAGACGTTAGATTTCTATCAGATGTCTCACCTGGAGGATGCTCACGACTTTTTTGGCGAGGAACGGGCCAGGATTGGACGCTTGTGACATGCCCACTCCGGTGTAGTCGGCTAAAATGACAATACCGTTGACCTGCGTCTCCTCCGGCTGGATCAGCTTCTCCAGAGTCAGATAGAGGGCTCGCACATTGTCAACAAACGGATAATCATTTGGTTTCCATTTCCCTGTAAAAGAAGATGTGAGTTGAGTTTATTAAATTCATAAATAATTAGTAATAGGGTAGGTACTTAAAGATTATACAAATTTGAGGTCTACTTGATAATAAAGAATAACAAAAAAAAAACATTATTGTCTAGAAGGGAGTTTGCTTTGCACTTAAAACAATAAAGTATATAAAAAAACAACATCATCAACCATCCATGACAGCACATAGCCCCATATAACTTATTCATTGATCATAAGAAAACATCTTTGGTAAAAGTAGCACAAAAGGACGTTTTAGAAAGGTGCCAAATGTAGACAAACGTAACCCATGTGACCAGAGGTTGTTTGACAGTTAAATGTGACAGTTAAATGGTTAATTCATTATAAAACTGCAATAAAGATGGAGCACCTGGGCGTAGACAGAGGATGTATCTCCCGCTGGGGTCGGGCTGTGGCAGCACTGTGAGGAAGCCCAGGTCCAGGACGTGCTTCACTGTGGACGGCTTCAGGTCCTGGAACACTTCAGGCCAGGCTTTCCGACCCGCGTGGTAGTTGAGCAGCAGCTGCATGGCACGGTCGTAGTCAAACTTCCTGGCCCGTAGGAAGCGCAGCAGGAAGGCGTCATCCAGCCGGGTCCTGAGGTTGGGCTGCTCCTGCAGAGTGAGGTAAAGAAATATGAGTTCAGAAATAAAACACTATACACCTCGTGAGTGCAGACCATCGCCAATACCAATGCTAAACTCACATGCTTCTCCTGGGTTCCAACAAATTAGCTGCTAGGGCTGCAATTAACTATTAACTAAGAATCCCTTTCACCATTTAGGATTCCCAGAATTTATTGAACATGATTGACATTATATTACATTTCACTTCATCAAGCTGACCTTTTTTAACCAAAACCACCTACAGTAAGTATAATCAACCATAAGGACATAAACTCAAATTAGCAAGAATCCTGCAAGTAGATAAACCTTCAAAAGACCTTAATGCAACTGTATTGGCATCAAGTTATTCAGACCTTTTGAAGTGCTACGTATAGAGGTAATGAGTTTGCTTCTCTTCTGTTCATTATATTTCTCAAACTAACAGCTGTACAAGAATAGTGCCTTATTATGATTTATTAAATGAAATATGCAATAAAAAAGCATAGGAGTTTGAGACGTTAATTCAGCTTTTGGAGTTATTTAATAAAGTATTTTAATTTAAGGTTCCACTAAACCACTTTGTCCTGCTTCAACAGTTACTGAATGATATTGCATTATGTTTATATGAGTACCTTCAGAATCATGTCTCTCAGTGCTTGGACGTCCCGCAGACGCCACTCTGGCTTCTCCTGGAGCTCCTCCCGTGCTTTGTGCACCAGCTCGGGGGTCAGGGTGCAGGAGTACATGGGTGGGGGGGGCGCAGGGAACCAGCTGAATCCTGCAGCTGCTGACGAGTCCACGGGAGGAGACGTGAGATCGATGGACTCATGCTGATCGGCCATGGGCTGACTGGGTGAAGCTAATTGGACAGAGACATACTGTATATGAGAGAGGAACACAGAGGCTATGAAAACAGTTAAAGAAAGACTCATTAGAAGGATGAAGAGTTGAGTATTAAGGAAAATATGGTTCTCACAGAACAGCGACAAAAATATGATGAGGATTGTATTGTATTGTATTGTATTGTTTTAGATAACTACCAACAATGTTAACAAAAGTTAAAATAAACACACTCTTCAACAGCTACAGCAGTCAAATGCAAAATACATATCAATAAAACAGTAATATTAATCCAAAAACGTATATATTAGTAAACACTGACAGGGACTATTTTAGTGCACAACCAGTACTTTTGTGCCTGTAACTAAAATATTAAAATTCCTGTTACCTGCCCAAATCATATCTGTCTTTAGACCAATCACAACAAGTGCTGTGGATTTTTTGCCATATCATATTCATCATAGTATTTGGGCAGTAATGGGTATGGTTTCTAATGCATGACTTTGAATTGTGATGGAGTACAGTACACAGTGAGTTATTAGTAGTACTTCAGTAAAGGATATGAACACATCCTCCACTGCTGCATACATAGTTAACATCATTTGATATCACTTTGCCTTAACTGGAGAATATATATTATAAATTATACGTCTCTTGATACCTCAGAAAGGTAAGGAAAGCATGCATCTCTACATGTTTGTGTATAGCATTGACACAGACTAGCTAAAACAACCGCATCCTGAGCAGAACCGATGCGACACAACTAAAGTCAGAATAAGGACTGAATACCAACCCGGAGATGCGTTAAACATTAACCGACTAGGACACACATAGGTGGCTTTTATGAGCATCCATTGGCAAGAGATAAAAATGCATCACAGAGACGCTGCGACCAGAAAAAAAACAAAAATCACTACCGACCTGTCAGGAAAATCCTTTTTCCGGGTAGAGGGATGGTGCTCTCTCATTGGTCCACAATCAACCATGTGATTGGTTGATGACGCAGGGCGTTCCAGATTTACGCTTCCACGTCTGTTGTTTTGATGACAATGCTGCATTCAATAGCCCATTGGAAACTAGCCACTAAAAACTTGGGAAAAAGTACCTCGTCGTACACATTTTATTGTTCCTGTAGTGGGTGTTATAAGCCTCTTGGTTTGGTAATTTAACAAATGAAACTGACGTGGGAAGATTTAACTTGCTAAAACAAACACTACATTCAACTGTTATATTTATTGGCGTCAGTGCCTTTGGACATCACATGTTGCTCATTACCATCATTAAATAACTGATACCTGGTTAAAATCTAAGGACTACATTAACCACTTTGCGAGATGGCATTAGAAAAATATACCTTTTTTGGCAGGGTACAGTTTAATCCATGATACTGCGTGGAGTTGTTCTTCCTGCAGATTGTTATATCTGTTTTTGACCATTTTAATTTTATGATGACATGAAAACCTGCTTGCATGCCCTGTGGATCACATGGCTCAAGTAGGCTACACTTTATTACGCTAGATGGCAGAGTTTGCCTTCATATTGCACAGCATTTATCACTGTCACGTCTCAAGATCTGCCAGGTATGCTTTCTACTTAAAATTACAAAATGAATTCTTAAAAATACTACATCTAACTACTGTATTCAAATGTGTTTTGCAAAGAAAAATACTATCTTTGATATCTTTTAATGGTGACTTTGATTCTTAAGTCTTACACTTTTTGTGTTGTGTCAATGTAAGCTATGCTAAATGCAACACGTTGATATTAACTACGAACTAATCATTAATATTTGATAATATATTACACTTATTCAACTAGAATATAGATATATCTTAGTACCCCCCTCCCTCTGTTTGAATCACTGCTACAGTATCTTGAATGACTTTATGGCACTTTATCAGTCTGAAGCAACCTGAGGCTATCAGTGAACTACCACTGCCACGTTGGACTATTGTTTTTCCGACGTGTCATATATCTGTATTAAGTTGTCAGAATATGTTTTATCCCATTTAAAAACATTGATAATATAAAGAAATGTACAAAATGCAATGTAAAAATAGACCTTGAGATTTATTAATTCATCTTCACATTGTAAGGCGAAACAATGCTATGTGTGTAAGGCAGTACAGGTTATGAGGCACAGTTTAATACCATGACAAGGTACTAAACAAAAAATATAATATATATTTTCCAAAACCATTACAACATATTATTGGGAAACTTATTTAGTGTGTCTGCCTGTGACTTTTACAAAGTGGCACCATAGAGTTCACTATTTCTACCTTACATGTTCTACTGTTTTAAATGTATTTTCCAGTAAATAAAACAAACCAAATGTATTTGAATCCTGTTACATAAAAGATGAGGTCGTTCAAGTGATTTCATTTAGCTTTGATAAAATGAAGAGTTCCTGACAACGAGTTGACACACTTTTAGCACTAATGAGCATAAAATAAAATACTGTGCAACACTAGATACACAACAATGTAAGGCCTGTTGTAACATTCATAAAATACTTACATCACGTCTAACATGAGCCTTACTGCACACACTGAGGCCATGCTGAAGGAAGTGATGTTACCCAATAATAAACTACATATTTACAACAATGGACATCTTTTTATGTATCGACCTTACAGAACAACAGGATATTTTTGATGCCTTGAGTTTTGTTTGGCGTTCACTGAGCTTAACTGCAGCTGCATGTGTGAACAAATACATCCCTGGAGACAAACAGCAATCTGCAAGGGACATATTTGCAATTACATTCTACATATAAAGCAACTTTATTGTTTCAGACAGGTTAACAGCTTCGATGCTGATTATGTAATAAGTTACATATAAAAACCCTGGTTTAAGACAATAAAAAAACTGAAGGAATAAGGGTTCAGAGGACTGTTAGATGGCCTCCTGCTTTGTAATAGTAGGCTGAGGGATGGAGGTCGGCTGCTTGGGCACGGTGGCTATGACCCCCTGAGGCAGTTTATAATGTTCAGAGCTGGAGGCAGTAGGTGGAGACGGGATTGGGCTTTCAGGAGTGGCTGAAAAAGTGGAACACAGAAAGAAACAGTAGTGATTTAGAGGGAGAAAACTGCCACATAAGCAGGTGTATATTTACCATTTTGTGGGAGAACATGATTTGGGTGCAACACAGATAAAGAAGTAAGCACTTTAATGACATTTCTCAGAGCATTAAACATGTTTAGAAAGAATAACAGAAGTTCTCTTTGACAAAATAAGCCAGATTAGTTTCCATGAAGAATTTAGAGGATTATTCTGCCAAGCCTGTTTGTCCTTCCAGCTACCCGACCAGGCTGCACATGTAGCTCAGAGAGGGAGATTCAACCGTCTGTGTTCATTCAGACATGATTGATTTTGAGTTCATTTAGATTAATCTTCCTGATTTCACTGATCAAACTCACAAAAAGTCTGTTTTCTAACAGTAAAGGGCAGTGGAAGCAGCTGAAGCATGAATCTTAAAGGCCACAATAGTTTACTTCATATTTCTGCTTACAGATTTGACCGTTATGGATCGCTGATGGGATGTTGCTGGTCACTATAACATTGCTGCCAAGATGCTCCTGAACCAGGTGAGGGTGCAGAGAGTGAGGTGCGTGTGGAGCTTCGTTTGCAGAACCTTGGCGACAAAACACACAAACATACTGTCAGTCTTAATTTACTGCAGCATATATAACCACACAAAGAAAGCCACAGTCCTCTCAAGTCATGGTTGGTTACACATGACGTAAAAGAGCTCACCTCCAAGAAGCATTTCCTGCAGCAGGTTGTCGATCTTGGCCATGCCGAAGAGTTTGACGAACTGGATCTGTTCGATCATCTGCCAGGTGATGCTCTGTAGCGTGGGCAGCAGCAGGAGCAGCTCCCCGAAGCGTCCCCGCGAGTCGTACTGCCGGTCGTTGATGTAGTCTTCCAGGCTGACCTGCACCTGGTATCGCATCCGCTTGATCTTTCCAGGGTCACTCAGACCTTTAGCGTCTGTGGGCGAATAAACAGCAGAGGGGTTTACAAAGAGAAGTGTGTTAATGAGTTGGAACATGTTGGAGATTGAAATGTGGGGAGAGAATCCAAATAAAAGTCAGTAGCAGTACCTGGGTCAAAGAAAACTATGGCTTTAAGGCAGGCGTATTCATTGTCGTCTATCTGAAGCTCCTGGAAGGGAAGCACCAGCTCGTCCAGGATCCTCACAGCTACCCGGCCCACCTCCAGCTCTGGGCAGTTTCTGGGAATGATGTGGTCATTTCCTGCAGGAGCATCACATTTCTTGTTTGGTCCATCATAAGAGAATGCTTTTTGTAACAGAATTGGGCAATATGAGTGTGGTAAAGTACTCCTTGAAGTGTCAGTTTTACCTAATAGGAGGATGTCTTTGTAAAGCATGGACCTCTTTGCAGCGCCGAGCAGGAGGTGTTCTCCAGCATGAGCTCGCAGCAACGCCACCTGAAACACAGTTCATTCATTTACTTATTAGAGTGATAATAACTCTGCAATTATCTACATGTTTTAAATAGTTTGGTGTTGTATGTATTGTATTAAAGCTGCAACAAATAGCTGACTAGCCAATTGACAGAATATAATCGCCAATTATTTTGTAATTGATCAAACGTAAATGTAATCTTCATGCCATGATGGCAGAAAATGCTGTTTTTAGCCTCTCAAGTAGAGGGATTTCTCTTATACATATCATACTCAAGTGAATATCTTTGAGTTTTGGACTGACAAAAGAAGACATTTTAAACGTGGCAGAAGACACCGGCTCCTTCACTGATACAACATCAGCAAATCAGTTACTAAGGCCTGGTGATCTCACTGTTAATGATTCAGCACTTCATTTTCCGAGGAGGGAAATATATTTAAAACCAGCTCATCATATTCTAACTCAGGATTAAATACATTTACTGGTTGTAGAGTTTGAGATTTGAAACTTTAAGAGACTTGCTTTTTAATGCATTTGCTTTGTTTCTACTCCATTTTATTTATTTGGGAAGTGCATATCCTCTTGAGTCTGCACCCATGTGTTCCTGCAGCCACACTATGGTTTTTGACTGGTTGATGAGTGACCAGAGTGTCTAAACAACTATGTACACTGTGTGTGTGTGTGTGTGTGTGTGTGTGTGTGTGTGTGTGTGTGTGTGTGTGTGTGTGTGTGTGTGTGTGTGTGTGTGTGTGTGTGTGTGTGTGTGTGTGTGTGTGTGTGTGTGTGTGGTGTGTGTGTGTGTGTGTGTGTGTGTGTGTGTGTGTGTGTGTGTGTGTGTGTGTGTGTGTGTGTGTGTGTGTGTGTGTGTGTGTCTTACCTGGTCATCCAGGGGCAGGTCACAGAAGGCTGGGATGTATTTGGCCCACTCCACCAGCACCAGCAGCTGCTGCTTCATGGACTCACACACGTCTGTGATGGTGGCGATCTTTTTGGTCCTTATGTCGCCGTTCAGTATAGGAGCAGGGGAGGTGATCTAGATACACAGATGTGGAGTCATTGGATGCCTTGTTGCAGGTGATAAATCACAGTTGGATGTGATTCCCACACATGATTTAGTCTTACCTGTCTTGACAGTACGTCTGCCTGGATGAGTGCATTGATGGATGGTAAACTGCTGTCTTCATAGCTGGATCTCCTGGTGCTGATTCTGTCTCTTTCATTCTGCACAGCTGAAACACACACTGATTTATAGTATCATTGCTATGCTGCGAAAAATAATGCCACTTTCATGCAGTTTAAGCCTTAAAAAACAATGAAATCTCCATATCTGTGCAGGAACGCAGAGTCATTTAGAAGAAAAATAGGTCTTCCAAGGTTGTCATGTTTATCAGTATATGGCTATTATTGCCCGGAAATGTTTGCTCAGCATAAGCTGGTTAGAGACTCTGGCGCTCCATCGAGTGAACATTAACAAAGTACT